TCATTGTTTTGATTCATATCCATCGTCGTCTTTTGTATTCTCAAACACTTTGATGTAACGATTGATTAATGCTTTTAACAATTTCTGAAAATCTTCTATGACCACAGATATAATTTTGTTTGGCAGCTGTCAATACAGCATCATTATATATTGATCTTGAATATAAGAATAATTTTTATATAAAATACCATCATTACTCCTTTGAATTTAATGTAAGGAAAACTTTTGTTTAACGTAGACATTTCAATACAATGTTTTAGACTTTCACTTCACTTCTGTGTATTACATACAATTTATATTATATACAGTTTAGGAATCCATATTTTATTAAAATAGGAACTACAATCTCGTTTTCCAAACTGAGATCATTTTTATTTCTTTAATTATAAAAAGTGATCTCAATTACCAGTGAACCAACATTTTTATTAGAAAGGAAAAATATTTAGATGCTGATATACGTCACGTATCAAAAACACAGACTACTCTGTTGTATACTTCTGTGCAAACACTCTCTCTCTCTCGTGACAAAGATATAAAATTTTAAACTATAATAACACATCTATAAACCGGAACATGCAATATGATTTATTTACTCTCTTCCGTCTATCAAAGAATGTTCATCAATATTTACGTTTGATACAAAGATGTTACAGGTAAAGCACTGATGAAGAAGGAAGTATCACCATATTAACCTTATCAGTCTTAGCTATGTGAAATAATAATGAATATCCTCGGGTAAACTATATAAATTATATATGAAAAACTTCACTCACATCACGCTTCTTTTTAGCATATAGTTTGAATAAATTGAGAGAAAAATTTGTTCTTTAATGCATACTGATAATGCAACAATATGTTTTCTGATAAAAAACAGATCACGACGATTATATAGCTTATAGGTACACTATTGAAAAGAAGAAAAAATAAATATAAATTAGAATCAGAAAAAGAAAGCGGAAGTCTTTCTCAAAAATTATATATCACATATTTATTGCTGTGAATGCGTGTGGCTTTATTAAAAAAATGGAAAGAACAGAATGTGTAATACACTGCGATAGATCAGGAGTATCGCCATTTTTCTCTATATTAATCAAAAAAAAACAACGAAGAAAACGCCACCCCTAATGAAAATATTATAATAAATAGAAAATTAAGGTTGACTGCTTAAAAAAAAGAATCATTGACTATAGTTTTTTACTATATAGTATAGTACAGAAATCAGTTTTGAATTTTTGTTTCTGTTTTTTTGAAGATTCTATTTCTGATATATGTTGTTATACTCATAAAACCATCAATAAGATTAAGAGCAGAATAGTAAAAATAATTGACTATCTTTTATGCACATGTGGTGTGATATATAGAAAATCAATAACATGATGGTATCAAGGATAAAAATACAAATGTTTCATTATTATTAGCATTCTACATGAATAATGTAAAAAATTATTGATCATACAAGTTGTAACATCTCTAAATTAGTTACCTAGAATAATTTCATAAAATAGTTTGTTTTCTCAGTGTGTTAGACTAAATTAAGTGCCATATGAATTTATGACAATTAAATGTATTGTTATATTATTTTCTATATTAAATGAATAGCTATGAAATATTCATTTTTCCATTTTTTGAAGAATAGACTCTTAAAAAATTATTAACAGTTTTCTTCTTCTCTTTCATCAGATTTTAAAGTGCTTTAATAATGAAAATAACTTTGATAAAATTGCTTGGGGTGTTGTTTGGTTTTTTGATTTAATTAAATAGATATATGGATTATGTTTAAAGGCGGAAACAATAATAATTTACATGAACATATCGATCGGTCATAGTTTAAATTATTTTAGAAAAATGTCTTAATGCATTAGTTTGTTCTAATATAGTACTGAAAAAGGGAACCACTAAATACATTAAAGAGATGCATAAAGAGTATGATGCAAATGTGGGGCATGACATCCATCCGGTCAAAAGACAATGATTTTTTCCACTCATTCACAGAATATTTTTAGTACATCAAATACTAATTTTGTGTATTAACTGCTGCACGTCGTAGTCGGTTTTAGTTGTCGATGACATTCTTCTACAATTAGCTCACACTATATCTGCTGTTGTACATTGTATTTATCTCTCAATCTTATTGTTCTCATCCCACTTTTGATCTTTCGTACACAATCGAGAAACGAGTCTAGTGCGAATCTGTTACCTCATACAAATAGTGGAAATAATACCCTTTTGTACGAAAATAACCGTTTCCAAAAACATTATATCTTTTAAAGGAACCAGCTGTTAGGCTTTGATTGATTTTCACTTAAAAGAAAGTGTTTAAGCTACACAGTGAGGTTTTCATCAGCTCTACGCGTTGCTTAGTTGAAAAGCGATGTACGATAAAAAAAAAAAGTAACATATTTAGATAAAAATTGAAAACTTCAGGACATGCTTCTTCACGTATCTTAATAAACACAGAATAAAAATAATTGAAAATCGATATTTGCATTTTTCAAACGATCTGCTAGAAAATCTTATCAATAAATGTACGCATGGTTTTTGATATAATAACTAGGTCTATCGAATAAAATGAATTCTAAAGTTTTCAAGTCATTCGCATTTGTTTTGATTATTATAAACCACGTGAAAATAACCGAAAATCGCGTATGTTATATAAAATTGTGTTTTCAATAGACTTCTAAAACGTTTTCAAGAAGTAAACTTTGCCACAAGACTCAGGATGATGAAAAACATATAGTTTACCATTAGTGTTACCTCATTTTAATAAATGCTTAAGTTGAGCCTTGCAGAAAATCTGATACAACGTCTAAAATGTTCCTAATGGAGTTTTGACATGACTCTTATTTCAAAGACGATACTTTGGAGTATGTACTTATTTTAAAGAAACAAATATATTTGCATTTTAAGTTCCAGAAATCAATCATGTCTTTCAGAAGATTCTTTTGAAAACTCCGCCTTTGAGCTAGATTTTAGACTTTGTTTTTCTTTGAAAAGACATGTTCTGGCTAGTGACGGCAAAAACCGTACGTCTCTATAACCGTTCTATGAAACGTTATTCAAAACTCAGTGAACTAACTTCTATATTAACTCGGTAGTAGATTAGAAATTTACAGTGGACAAATTGCTCTAGTCATCTTCCAATTAGCTCGTTTTGATTCTTATCGTTCATATGATAATAATTTATCCTCTCTTTGATAATTAACTTCAACAGATTTTTTTTCTATGTTCATCGATCTTCGAACGGATGATGTTTCAGAACAGACCAACCTAAATTTTAGAGATATAAAACCTGTTTCTGAACCGTTTCATCATGCTTTTGCTCCAGTAAGAGAAATTGTTATTGTTTCCTTTTAAAACTTTTTCTCACTGTAAACAAAATCTATTGCTACCTCATCAATTTGTACCACGTATTCATGTCCTTGTCGTTTATAAATGATTTTAATAATGGTTACAAAATATACACAGTTTTTTGTAAGCTACACGGAGATGGAAGTTAAGAATTATGATCTTATTGATGTCTAATTGTCATTTTACAATATCGTTTTTGTAATAAATTATTCTATGATTACCATCTTTTGTCTTTTTTCTAAATCTTGCAGTCATCTCATGTAACGTAATGTTCGTATAAATTGAAGTAGAAAGGAATCTAATCTTTTTGATTACATTTTCTGGTAATCATGTGCTACTTAGTAACGTACTTTGTCTGATCATAATATTTCATTTTATCCTCTTTCTTCACAAAATCCAGATTTTCCAATTATAGCAAAGCATATAGAGTTTATCATCAAGATACAAAACATAGCAATATGTCTAACGAAGAAAAAGGGTGTTTTCATCGCAATGATAATGTATCTGTAAACATTGTTTCAATCTCATTTTATTCAATAGTGCTCAAAACAACCATAAGATAATGAGTAGACCTATACCAAATCTTCAGAATAAAATCATATTCTTTATCTACATTAGTTGTCATTAATTTTCCTTTGTGTTTCTTATGAAATTTATTGTCGCATTACTAATTTGTATTATTATCTATTCTAGCATATCTCTGTTCACAGTTCTTGTTGCGGATGTTCTGATGTGTTGAATAGCTTTTATAAAATATATTGCATATGTATGTAGAAAAAACAGCTACGTTTATAGTATCAACAACTATTAATATAAAAAAAAATGAAACAGAAATTAGTCTTTTTCTCGTAAAGTTGATTTATTACTAATTTGATCCACGGTTTACTTACATTCAAACTTTGATATCGATATTGTAAACTCACCCAAAACATCCCTCATTTGTAGTGTGATGAACGAAGATAAAATCGAAAATAGTTTCGTTTGAGCTTTTCGAAAAATACATCGATTCTGTCAGAATGACTTTTTTCGAAGAATTCATAAAAATAAAAATATTTTGAAAAAAAATTATTCTTAAATGGCGAAATCATCGATCCATAATTTGGTTTTACCTTATATCTTCTATTTTCACGGTTGGTCTCAACATTCGGACACTGACATCCGTTTCAGATCAATCTGTAATTGGCCTACGGTAAATTCTAATTGGTGTTTAAACTAGTCGAAAATCCAATCGTAGTTTGATCTGTAATTTTAGTAACTCAAACTTTGATCGAAGTTTCGACTAGATCAATCTTGTTCAAACGGAAAAATGGCAGTTTAATCTCAGATTAAACAAGGCCAAATTGAGATTAACTAGAATATGAGTCAACTATAGAATTATTTGAGAACGGAACACAAGTGAAGAGAACATCTATAACAATCGAAAAATGGATCAATTATTAAAAATTGATTAGGCTGTCATTGATCAGCTATTCCATTTAATATAACTGGTGATGTTTTAGATGAACTTGGCAGTGTCAAAGATGGAAACAATCGGTATAACATTTTAATTTATGATAATAAGAGGATTGAAAAAAAATGAATTATCATTCGCTGTTGGGATCGCTATTGGGTGAGCAGAATATTTTATTTTATCAGTATGTGTTTGTCGCCGGATGGAAGAAGGATGTCTAAAAAAAGATAAACAAAATCAGAAACAGAAAAATGAGAACGTAAATGAACAGAATAGAAATGAAAATAAACTAGTCGAACAGAGTAAAGGAAGAACCGAAAGACATGATGACGTTAATGATAAAGAAGTTGAAAACCATGAAGTAGAATCAGAAACTGCATATGGCAATAAATATGTTAATAATGAAATTAAACAAATTGTTTGTCATATAATAACTACGAACTATACTACTTATTATGGATCTACAATTTCCAAAGATAATCAAATTTCACAAAATACAATCGCACAAAATGAAGAGACAGCATCATTAGATGGTATCGAAAGCAATGAAAAACTGAGTAAACATGGATTTAAATATCGAAACAAAACAACAATACTATTCCATACGCATGCGCTAAAGTATTAGTCTCAATCCTTGTTTGAAATCAATTCTGAAATTAGAAAAGGTGCTAAAATTGAGGATAGTGTATTGGTTTATAAAACAGAAAAAGACGGTATAAATTTTAGTATATACAAATTAAGGAGGTGTTCCATCTCCCCCCACACACTCCTGATATTTGGATATGTTGTAGAGTTCGATGGACCACGTCACAGTAACCCCCTTTATGGGATCACAAACGTAAAAAAAGTGAGCAAAACTGAGTTACAAAATGTTTTTTTCCATGTATTTTGAGTGGGTGCCTACAGCGGGTCCAAAAAACAGTCCGCCACCTTTATTTTTCGTTTTTCCCTTCGACCATAATAGCTAGAACACATTTGAAAAAGGATTTGAACAGCTGAAAGAATTTTAGATTTGACGTGCTGTATGAAAAAGTTCTTTCAAAACTCTTGAAACCAAGGTCTCCGGAAAACAAAAATCTCAGAAAACCTAGTTCCTGAGTTCAATTTAGAGATTCTTTCCAAATAAGTTTATCGTGTAGAGCAAACATTTGTGAAGAAAACGAGACGTCTCCAAGCTCCTTACGACATTATTTCATGGAACAGCACTCAATTTACGGAAGGCCCTAATGGCATAACTTCTTGTTTTTCCGTTAGTTTTGCTACTATCCTCCTCCGTAAATTGAGTTTAGAAAAAGAATTAAAATGAGGTTTTCTAAGATATTTGTTTTCCAGAGACCTTGGTTTCAAGAGTTTTGAAAGAACTTTTTCATACAGCACGTCAAATCTAAAATTCTTTCAGCTGTTCAAATCCTTTTTCAAACATGTTCTAGCTATTATGATCGAGGAGAAAAACGAAAAATAAAGGTGGCGGACTGTTTTTTGGACCCACTGTAAGTTTAAACGGCGTAGTATTTAATACCCAAAAAACGCTGCTAAGCTTCACTCAGTTTCCGATTAACACATATTGTAGAGTTTTTCAAGATGCATCGAATGATGTATTGCACTAGGCTTAATATTGGATGGTTACTGAGAAATTTTGATTTTACAGCCATACTTTTGGTGCTAAATCGTTGCTTGCTTTCGAATAGATTTTGTTAGCTATATTCGACTGAAACTGCTCGGAGGGATCGAAATCATCGAATATGATGATAGGATGTGATTCTGGTGAGTTTTATACCGATTGGAGCGGTTAAAGTTAGCGGGCCGATTTCAAGTCTTATGCGGACTCCACGTTTTTTCAAAATTTTACCATTAACTCTAAAAGCAGACAATGTTATCTCCCGCAGTCGGCCATTGCGCACAATTTTTGTAGCTAGACTATTGTTTCATTATGCTCTTGCGCAGAATTATAGAAAACACTTTGGGCTATCTGGTCACCATGTTGAAATTAAAAATCCATCTCAGGTTCAGAATCTATCAACCTCATCACCTTTTATCCGTCCGATATACCACCTGAAAAACCTAGATTTTTAGTACAAAATATATGTGAAGATAGAAGAAAGCCTTGTCTACAAAATGCTGAAAACCCGAATCCTCTATCTATTTTCGTTCTCGAGTTATTCCAAAACATCCATGGCAGCTCTATTCAGAAATCCGTAGTAGAAACCCAGTTTGCCTAAAACCGAGTACAAATAACTGCTTATCGGTAACATTTTGAAAGAAATGAGCATAATTAGAATTGTCTGTTTCAAAAATTTTTGTTCAAATTTTGATCTAAATACATTACTCAACATAGAATTTTGCTAAAGCAAAGAAATGATAAACGTACTTTTTCTGCACCATAATATTATGAATAAAATATTTTTTAAAATGGGTTTGTTTTTGAAATTTTGGAATGATAAGCAAAACTTTCATCTTTGGTCTTTTTTTAAAATTCCAAAACAATTTTTCGTATTTTCCATTGAAAACTGATTCTAGAAAGCTAATTTTGGAAATTTTAAGAAGTTAAACTTAGAATTTTCACTCGAAATTCAAAGTTATCTAAAAATTCTGAAACACACATGTCTCAACTCAGTTTTTAATGCTGCTTCTGAAAATGACATTATTTTTGTCGAAACGTTGAATTTTGATGGAAGAAACGGCAAACTACGCGGTCAATTTCATCATTTTTTCACCGATTTCGAAAATATGAATCGAATTTCTCGGCAACGAAACAAAATTTTTCGAAAAGGATACTTACCTTTTTTCCCACAAGTATGGCGATCAGAATGAAGCAAAAGAAAGACTTTTATCTCCTAAACCCTAGGACTCGATAGGTTTGCAAAATTGACTGGCAGCTCCTTTACCATTCTGCTCGTGTTTCGTAGATTCTGAATCCATTTTAGTTTCTAAAATTTCCAAGATTAGCTTTCTAGACTTAGTTTTCAGTGGAAAATAATAAAAAATGATTTTGAAATTTTAAACGACTACCAAAACATGAAAATTTTGCTTGTCATTCAGAAATTTCCTCATTTTATATTTTAGAATTTTTTCACCAAAAAATGTTTTCTGAAAACTTGAAATCGAGTTTTTTCTAGGTAACTCGATGAGCGCTATATCCATATACTATATATACTACTGTTTGATCAAATTATTAAACAGCTTTAAATACTTTTTGAAAAAATGATTTATGACAAAACTATCTTCAGACACCTGACAATCAACCCATTCGTTTATTAACTGTACTCATTTTTATTATTTTACACACATGATATAGAAAAGATTTTGAAGAATTCTGGACGTGTAGTTTCTACCCCATTGAATAACAGCGAGATTTATTAAAGTAAAGTTTAAATGAAAAAACTTTTTTTATTATTTGTTGAATGTAATTGTGTGACAAATGATAGATCATGGTAAATGGAGTCATTAAATATGAGAAAAATGATAGAATTACAACACCTACTCAAAATTAGACAATATTGACACAAAAATATTTGTTTGTCTTCATGGCATGGCGTACTTAAGGGATGGGGGCTCCTCCATTTAGATTTTCTTTAAGATTTCCCAGTCTGTAGAGCAGAGCTAGAACCGGTTGAAAAAAGATAAACCGATCCGATCCGGCCGGTAAACGGGTCGGCTGGAATTATAACTCAAACCGGCGAAAACCTGGCGAAGTTTTTTGAAAATCGATTTTCAAAACGAGTTTTTCCCACAAATGAAGTAGTTTGCGAGCACATGTGAGAGAACCTTCACAATAACGAGTCTATCATATTTAACCTTAAAACAAGGAATGACAATAATATCTGTTTTGAGCATCGACTTATTTATTCTGACTGAAAAAGACGTGAAATTTTAGTTTTTTTGACGAAAAACAGGGTAAAAAGAGCAGATGTTTCAAAATTTTCGACCGGTGAAATACCGATCTCTACCGATCCGGTTGACTTTTTCAACCGGTACTGGTCAGGTCCACCCGGACCGGTTTCAGCTCTGCTGTAGAGGACACTTCGAAGTATATGATCTGAAGTTTTTTCGGCTTATAGCGACAAATAGTAGAAATTTGTTACAGTTTTGGACACAATATTAGTAAAACTAACTTTAGTACTATCAATGAAAATCTTCTTCAGCACTCTTTCTCTATCATGAAGAAAACAGAAATTCATCTGATAGAAAGCAGGGATGGGCGAGTCCGAGTCAAAACTTGGACTCGAGTCGCATTTTGTTCAAGACTCGGACTCGACTCGGACTCGAAAACTGAGCAGCGTCGACTCGCCTGTGTGACTCCAGTCATTCACCCAAAAAGATTTTCATTTGCTCTTATAAAAATTTTACAATTTATAAGATTAAATTATCACTTCTTAATAACTTTTATCCTAATGGAATATATTGCATTAGAACAATTTTTTCAACAGCTTTTCTGCCTATGTATTCATATGGTCGTGAACGATAAACTGTGTATATTACTGCATATATATGTTTTTTCTCGTTCTGTTTTTTTTCGGTTCATTTCTGAAGCACATGTATATAAAAAGTGAAGTTATTCTCTAAGAAACGTTGTTGCTTTTATTGACTAATAGCTACATTGTCCTAGGCTAAAACAATGTATTCGTTATATACACACATGTGTTGTTGTTAAAAATCCGCAACTATAAAGTTCATGATACCTTGGATATGAAAATATCCGAGCACCTGGATCAAAAACTAGGAACTGGATAATGCGTTATGAAACTTGTTGTTGATATTTTTTATCAAAATAAACAGAAAACGAAATAATCGAAAAAAATAATTTGACTCGACTTGACTCGACTCGGAAACACCGGTGACTCGACTCGACAGTATTTCAAAATGACTTAGACTCGACACTCGACTCGAAATGGCTTGACTCACCCATCCCTGATAGAAAGTAACAGAATGAGGATGGACAGCGTGTGGATTCCCTTGGTTGGATATAGAAAAGCGTTTGTTTCGACGGATTCATCACGGAAGAATCAAAAATTATTGATCATGATCTATTTTTTCAGATTCCAGCGTTGTGAAAAAAGCTCCAAAAACTTCGCACTAATATTGACACTGCACGCATTTTGATGTACACCGGTATACGTCATTCCAAGTGAAAAATTTTAAGAAAAACGAACAAGTTTTCAAAGAGATGATTCTTATTCATGCAGTTCAAAAAAAGAGGATCGAATAGAGGGTTTGCCGCTTCTTTCGAAGTTTTTTGAAAATAACCGTTAAATGTTATCAAGAGAGTGACATTAACACACATAAAGTCTGTACATATTTAAATAGTTATGTAATGTAAATAGGAGAAAAGAAAGAAAATCTAGCTATCTTGCCATGCTTTCTAGATTAAAACGATTTAAAAGCAAGAAATACAGAAAGAAAAAACTTTTTTATTTGATTCAAGACAGTTAAAATTATTGTTTATCGTGGAGCAAAAACCCAAATAATATCGTAAATGGTAAGCGTACTGGTTACAGGAGCCAATGGTTACATTGGATTTGAAACAGCTCGTCAGTTACGTCAAGCAGGTCATACGGTTTATGGTTTAATTCGTAATTCAGATCATGAGAACAAATTATTGGTAGAAGAAATTATTCCAGTCATTGGTGATTACAGCGATTTCAAATGGCTTGATTCGATCGTTGATCAGATTTCGACTGTCATCGATCACGTCGTTGTGTTAGGCGCTAGCGACCACTCGCCACCAAAAAAGAATGTTATTGAAAAATTACAAAAAGCTGGCAAACAGACAGGCGTCTATAAACGATATGTGATGACAAGCGGATGTCTAGTTTATGGCGATCAATATGGTGATAAAGTCTTAGATGAAAATTCACCTGCTCTTTCGAAAGAATTCAAATGGCGGTCAGATTTTGAATCATACGTTTGTGATGAGAAGCAACATTCAAATGTAAACGGAGTCGTTGTTCGACCAAATTGGGTTTACGGTTTGAGTTTCGGTTGTTATATAACAGACTGGTTTGGTGGTACAAAGGATGGAAAAATTCCGATTGCTGGTAAGCCTGATAAAAAATGGAGTTGGTCCCATGTAAGCGATTTAGCTCGAGCATACGTACTGATTGTTGAAGCAGCACGAAGTTTGGTGGCTGGGGAAGTATTCAATGTCGGAGACGATAGTCGCTTCAGTTATGAAGAGATACGAACAGCATTTGCACGAGCCGCCGGTATTACTGGGGAAAAAGTGTACGTTGAAGCGGAAGGTTTTATGAAATTCTTCGAACACGATATGCTAATAAGTTCGGAGAAAATTAAACGTACACTGGGTTGGAAACCACACCATTTGTCACCATTGGATGATATTCAACTACTCTATAAAGCGTTTAGAGCTTCACAAGCAACACGCTGATTATTCAAACATCCGAATTCACTGATCTCCACCTAACACTTTGCAGAGGTCACGCTGTATTGTCTTCGTAAAATAAATTTTTGAATTATATACAGTATTCTTCTTTTAATATTTTCACATATTACTAAACATTTTTTGTCAATCATCAAGTTTGCTTAATGTTGTTTCAAGTCTGTAGTCATATTTTTTGTGCAATGAATCTTGTTTGTTCATTAACTGGAAAATGTGATTTTCTTTGGTTATTACTGAATCAGATCCAACAAATAATAAAAATCTGGTTATTGTTCAATAGAGTAGAAACTATACATCCAGAATTCTTCAAAATCTTTTCTATATCATGTGTGTAAAATAATAAAAATGAGTACAGTTAATAAACGAATGGGTTGATTGTCAGGTGTCTGAAGATAGTTTTGTCATAAATCACTTTTTCAAAAAGTATTTAAATCTGTTTAATCATTTGATCAAACAGGAGTAATATTTCATTCAACATGCATAGTGTTTGAACAGGAAGAATAAACATGTTGACTTTAATCGAGTCCTTTGCAGGGTTCCACTCTGGAGGTCTTGTACTTTTCCACATTTGTGAGTAGAAAAAAGTCTTGCAAAGCTGATGCTCAAACAATTATTTAATTTGGTCAAAAAATGAGCGATTGATTACACAAAATACTTTTTCTACTGCTCTTTTCGTTCTCTTTTCTGTAGAGAGACAGAATACGACAAAAAAGTGAAGCAAATGTCAATAGAGATGTATCTTAGGTATGTGTCTATAGAGGTCTATTGTAAACTGTGCATTATTCATTGTCCTCATTGTGATCGATAATAACAAGAAAGCGGTTTGAGTTTAACTGAGTAGACAACAAGGTTCCACTGCGTATCGTATCTTCAATATTCATTGAATTAAACTGAGTATAATTTCATTCTGTTTTTTATATATCGTAGTATATTTATTGATAAAAATATGACGTACAAAAGATGAAAATACAAAATATCCAGACATGAATAAAACACTTTTTATATATACAAAAATAACAACAACAAAAAGCTGCTGTTTATTCGAAAAAATTTGTTCAGATGAAAAAAGCAAATATTCAAATCTATACAAAACTCAGGTTCGTATGTATAAAAAACGGATAGGCACCGATTATAATGATAATATTTTAGAAAAATGAGTATCTGAAAAATTTCCTATGCTAACTTAATATAGTGAAACTAAAACTAATTATTATAGAAGGTATCGAACTTCGATTTCTCCTTCACAGAAGTATTCATTAAACAAGTTAAGATGAAAGTCATTTGTCTAAGTTAAAATTGAGAAAAAGTATAAAATAACAAAAAATGAAAAAAATACCAAAATGGAATGTTGAATCAATAGAATAATAACAACTAAAACTATTTTTTATCAAAACAAACAAAAAACAGTAATAGTTTTGGAGATGAATCGTCGAAAAGAAATAGCACAGAGATGAGATTGCACGCAGTTTAATATACATTAGTTTAACCATCCTTTATTTTCTGTCAATGCAGGATGTCTTGAATCACCTTTAATAATGGCTGTATCAGCGTCAATAGCTTGATCAGCGCCCAAATCTTCTTTCGTTTTATATTCTCCACTTTTAGAATATTTTTGATAACAAAACAATATACCAGCTATTATGAACACGAAAAGGACAGTAGCCATACTTCCAATAATGGTTAAATTTCGCTGATAAATACTTTGGTGTATTGACAGTCGAGGTATGTCTAAAACAAAGTGAAATAACAGATACAAAGATATATAAACAATACAAATAATATTTACCGATTATAGTAAAATTACGATCAGGAGGAATTTCCACTGGTTCTGGAGGGTACTTGACGGGTTCTGTGCCACATGACCATTCTCTGAAGAAAAAAATAAATAAATTAGTTCAACTCATACATCGCTATAAATAAATGCAGATATCTTCGACGTTGTTTTGAAAACGACAGCAACAGTATGAAAATGATTTTGATACTGTACAAAAAAATCTGAAACAATACATGACACATTTTCATCCTTGTCTAGCAGTCTAGTAACATCTATCACCTTAACCATTAGGTTTGCTTAAATATTATATATCTTTCCTGACTGAATAAGAAAGATGCAATGATACTTATGCACGTTTTCAATAAAGGTATTGACGATACCTTCAATCTTACCGTATATTTGAGCCTGTCCATGTTATATTTGGATCTCTTTCTTCTAGAAATGCATATTTCAGTGGGAATATCCTGTTGAATTGTAAACGTGCTATACATCCACTGAAACCTTGTTCGGGAGGTGTTGTTTCATTTCGTCCAATATATATTCGTCGTGGGCTATCAAATTGCATATCAATTTGTTGAGTTTGTGGAAATACCGTCTCAAATGGTTCATAATTGTCGACCGCTACAATTAAGCGTTTTCCATATTCTCGTCTTGTTACAATAATTTCGTGATCTTGTCCATTTGTTAAATCGTATGGTACATTATATTCAAATGTATCAAAACCGTAATTGAATTTAACACGTACACCGCCGTTGTTATTCATTTCCATTGTGAAATAATCAATCATACCTTTTTCATCGATTTTATCTGATTGAAGTTGCATTAATATACCTTGTTTTTTATACGTTGAAAATAAAACACGAATTGTCTCTTCTTCGGTTGCTGTAACACCTTCTGTTGGAAATATATATTTTATCATGGTATTCGCTTCTAAACGTGTACCAATTTCTGTTGAACATATTGGGCCTCGAAATGGAGTAAACGTACAATCACAGTCATATGTTGACCATCTTTCATTACACCGGCCTCCGTTCAAACACGGATTACTCTGGCATTTTCCGACACATCCAGGACTAATACCATATAAACCACGCATGGCTAAATATTTTAGATCTATCATTTCGCCATTGACTTGAAATGCTCGTATACAACCTACAAAACCATTCCGATTGGTCACCGATGCACCAATGGTTAAATTTGACGTTAAACGTATATGTCGAAATGTTGTTTGATCTTCTGGATTTGAAGCTGATAAGTCGTCAACCGTCATTCTTGCTTCCTGACGATTTATCTCGATTTGGACCGTATGCCATTCATTATCATTAAAATCATAGGGTGATCGTATTGTAACAATATTCGTTCCTCTACCAACACTGTAACGAAACGCAATTTCACGTGGTGCTTGAAGACGAATCTAAAACAGACCAATAAATGATATCCTACATATTTCTAAATAAGCAGAGTATCAGTTAGAAAGATGTTCTAGCTCAAATTTAGGCCTAAAAAATAATCTATCTGTCTCATAGTTTATCTTGTCGATCAGTTTTAAAATCTATACCAATAATCTGGCCCAATTAGAAATTAAAAAAATTTGCTCACTTCAATTAGATCGCCATCTTCGTAATCCACATTTTGTACCATAATAGCTGAGCCAAACGTTGATGAATCGAATCCCGTTTTAAATTGAAAACGTATGTCACCAGCGATTTTAGCCTCGAATTTCGGTACCGATATAATAGCATCCGCTTTTCGAAATGTAATGACATTGTCGTATAATAAATCCCCTTCGCATAATAATTTTCCAACTTGATAACGACCATACTGTTGTGCTTGACCCGCACCTGTATCACCAAACTCAACACGTAAAACAGGTAAATATTCTTCTTATTTAGTGTTCTTTTAAAAACGAGCCAAGCATAACCTTTGTCACGTACACTTCTCTATCAACGGTTCATCCGATTAATGTGGTTTCTTCACACTTTAAGTTCAATATATAGTGTAGATGTGCCCTTTCAGCAGACAAAAATTTAACTGATCTGTAGTTGTTGAGATATTTTGGCAACAGTCGATGTTCTATCTTATGATTCATGCGCGCGCAATAGATAAGTAAATGAAGGTAGATTGAGAAGCATCAAACAGGCGCTTGTATGATTCATAACAGAATGAATTACTACACTACTATGCAAATGTTGTTTTGAGTTTCTGTTGTGCTAAAAGAATTCCGTATAGAAGGTTAAATTACTCACTGCTCATTTTGCATTTTGGTTTCCCTTTCTATCATTTCCGTCACCCGGCGACGTCTATCCGCACCTAAGCAGTTGAGGCCTTTTATACCACCTCAAAGGTTCGAGCCTTTGGTGTACCACCTAGAAAATGAATTGTGTGTTGGTACAAAATGGTTATCTGTGTGCACACAGATAATCATTTTGTAAGACCCTAGACTAAAGCCAAGGAATAAACAAGATCTTGGTAGATCGGTTCCTGTCTCGCGAATTCAAGTAGTACTTTAGTTTAAGAGTGATTGATTAAACTGTATTGCGTAGGATTCTAATAAAGAATAGTATTTTTGAGAAATGTATAAATTGAACAAGAAGACTTTAGAGCAAGTAGTGGATTTAGTGACGGCGGGGGCGTCTATGCAGACGTGCGTTACCTTGTCTATCTTTTTATCTTTATTTTACACAAAGGGCCAATTTACACATCGTTTAGGCATCGTAGTTAGAAGTTACGTGCCATGCCAATAACAGCTGCCAATAGCAGATAAATTCAGCATTGGTTAAAAATCAGCTGCGAATAGAAAAAATGTGCAAAAGACTCAATATGGCAGTTCTAACCAATATAAGAGTGTGTGGACGTCCATATTTTCTCTTTTTACGTTTTACATTAACGGAAGAAACAACGTAACTAAACGGTCGTCTGCACTCACCCGGTCCCTTAGGAACTAGTTCCGAATGCCGTTCCGTCTGTCTCGCGGAGCAGAACAAGAAATTAGGCTTAAATTTTGTAGCAAAAATAAGTTTGAGACTTTAAGCGTCTCCTGTAACAAGAAAAGGTAGGAAAAATTTTTGTGTTCGACAACGGAAAAGTTTGTCCCGTAGAACTCTAATGTGAAGATCCCAAGGGAGCTGGAAGTATTTCTAATCAGCTCGCAATAATACATTATCTATATTCTGTAAGTTTCATTATTTGTAGACGACTTTTTTTGTGTTATCAAAGTTAACTGATTTCGGGCGACATCCGCCTCTGGACCACAGAAAAAGTTTGCTTACCTTTTTTTCTCTCTGCATCAGTAGATATTTCAGACCAATCGACAGAAATCATCGTTTAGTTGGAATGATCTGCGGTCAGCAATCATCCAATTACGATCATTCACTTAGTTTTCTTCACTTTATTCCTTTTACAGCAATTTAAGTGATACTAAAAACCCTATGGTATCTTAGTGAGGTGTTAAGTATGAGTTTGATTAATTTCATAACAAATGCAAATAATTATATTAAAAGATCTTTATCATCCTCTACTTAAGAACAACAGTAACATCGATAGACACACGATAAATTTAACAATATTAACGAATTGAAATCTCGATAAAAACATGATTTCTTCTGGATGTCACTTCTAAAACAATTCCAGTACATTTATGTTGTAAAAATGCCACTGTGATTCGTTATTATTAGATATGTTAGATGTTGCTGATGCTTTTTAATTATTCTTAACATTTTTAAAATAAAAATTCACAATCATTTTTTTTGCTATTCTAGATATTTTCAATTTTTGTTTCTTTTTCGTATATTAAACAGTCTCAATAATGTCAGAAGGTGAAGTTAACCCAAAAGCCTACCCGCTTGCAGATCCAAAATTGTCAAAAGATATTCTTGATTTGGTAAATCAAGCATTAAATTATCGACAGCTACGTAAAGGTGCAAACGAAGCAACAAAAACATTGAATCGTGGAAAATCAGAAGTTATTAGTAAGTACGAAAATTAAGTCTTATATTTTGCTGAAGAAACTTTTCTCTGTTTTTCCGTTTAGTAATGGCAGCCGATACACAACCGATCGAAATATTGATGCATTTACCATTACTTTGTGAAGACAAAAATGTTCCCTATGTCTTTATCAGATCAAAGCAAGCACTTGGTCGTGCATGTGGTGTTACTCGTCCAGTTATTGCTGCTTCGATCACCGTCAGTGAAGGTAGTCAATTGAAACAACAAATAATAACATTGAAACAAAACATCGATAAATTATTCACATAATGAACGAAAACATATTGTTTTCTTTCTGTAGGTGTGTGTATGTGCTCGTTAAGAGCATCTTGTTTTGTTATCCTTTCTTTCTCTTGTATCATTTTCATTATAACGAATAAACAAAAAAAGAGTGATCGTGTTGAACATCATCCACAAGAAATATACCTCCATCGTCAAAATTCTACTTTCAAAAACTGACTATGATAAATGATAAACTTTCTAAACAAACGAATCAATCGAAATACACTGTTATCATCAAAATCAATACATGAGGCTAAATATTTGATAATTCAGACCGTCATATCTCTTAAAAGTAAGAGATATTTTGCTCTTTCTGAAGTTTACTGAGACAGTTTTTGCTCCGATTAAAAGCTGGGAAGTGCTTATCATAATACCTAACGAGTTATTCAGAATAAATTCACAGTCCTTTTTTAAATATTTTTTCTATTTAAACTTAATTAAAAACGTTCGTTTTACTGCTAGAAAGAGAGATAGTAAATTTTGTGTACATTTTACGCATACGTTCTTTTTAAGACAAGTATTTGTCATTTTTGCAGCAGCAATCAACTGCACAACCAAAAGTTATAAAGATCTGGTTAATTCAACAACTTAGTTCTATACAACAGAAGATGCAGTATTGCAATAGCAAAACGTAAAAAAATAATTTTGTTATGTATCAACCGTTAATATTTGAGACGCAAAATCTCTTTATTTTCGATTGTCCATAAGCAATGGTCGAACGCGATTCAGCATAGAAAAAGTGAATAAACTTATCGTCATTCACCAGCATTTGTCTTTAGTCAAATTAATATTCGACAAGAAAATTATCGATTGGAATAACTGAAACATTCAGCAAGGATGAATCTCTTTTCTGTTTTCTCTAATCATGTGAGAAGTTTAGTAGGAAAAATTCGGAAAAAAGTAAGAAAATTCTTGTTGAGATAGAAAAAAATCAAAGAAAATTCATCTCAAAAATTTTCCATTCCCCGCTGGACTCTACTTCTGTCTGCTTTAAATGCGAATGCGTGTGATACTTCTATGTTTTTCTAGAAAAAGTGTCAGTCAGTGAAAGTAGTGGCATAGCCACCGGGTGGACTGGAGTGGGCTTAGCCCACCCACTAGTTGGTTTTGCCCATCCACAAAAAGTCTATAATTCATACTATTCTGCGCTAATCTCTACCACTATGAAAAAATTTGGGCGACGCCCACCCACTAATAAAATCCTGACTACGCCACTAAGTGAAAGGTATTATAATGTCTTTCACTTAGTGGAAGACATACAAGAAGAGCACACTATAGTGTGCTCTTCTTATCATTTCTTTTTCTAGAAATTGTTTTACAGCTCACCTGAACGATAAATCTTAAAGGAAGAGAATATATTTCTTGTTGTTTGCAGTTATCAGTTTGAAACAAACATTGTTATAGTAAAAGCGAACACACATCATAAACATACAGAATATTATATGAGCAAATTGATTGTAATCAAATATTATTAATTTTTAAAGCTCCATGTTCTGAACAACTTTGTCTACAAAGTCGTCTCACTATATCATGGCAACGGGAGGTAAATATTTTTTTCTGTCATTTTGTTACATGAAATTTGTAAAGAAATCAATTGATTTAGTTCTTGAAGAATTCTTTAGGTCAATCACATGAACCGTTTTTACGTATACGCCTGTCAAAATTTCACGATGGATCAAAAGTACAACCACTCAAAGATTTAAAAGTTCGATTGGAAACTCAAGATGAAACCGGTAGTAGACATCGAAATGTTCATATTTTTATTTTCATCACATGTACATGTGTTGAAGACAGTCCATTCCTCTATTAAGAACTTATGTGGAAACTTCGGTGCATCTGTTTTCAACATCTTCTGTACGAATTAATTTCTGTGTCGTTCAATTTTAGATCCAGCAACAAAACGGAAATATCCGGAATACAGCAAAGAGTCAGACTGTTTTACAATGGAGACGCGAGTAAAAGAGAATCGCACGATAACCATACTTATTTCTGTTGGCAGAACCAATTATTCGTATAAAACAAGCATTGCCGACATGCTTCATAAAACAAATGGAGTTATAACAGAGGTTTACATACTTTTCTAATACGTTCTTCTAATTCTTACTTGTGTTATTTTTTGTAAATTGTAGTGTAAATTTAGTGGTAAAAGTGTAGCTGGGATATCCGTTGAGTTGATAGGCATGTATATATATATATATATATATGATTGTTCAGTTTTAATGAATTATCCCTGTTCTGTTCTTTCTTGATAATAGCTCCATTTGAGCGCTTGGCCCAACGATCCCAAGGTATTCAAAAACATTACGGTCATGAATTCGTCCCAAGGTGCAGAAAGAAGAATTTCACTTGTACTTTCTATAGATTAATAATATTTTTTCGTTCTAGAATATTTACAACACTACCAGTTCAATGCAATGCCGAAGATTGCAAAACTTTTCTTTGGTAAAGAAATCGAACGTTAGATGTGAAAATAGCAAAAGATTGCTAACAATCTTTTATATATTCAAGGGGTTTTAAAGATTTAGGACTCAGATGCCAGTTATGTGATATTGTAGTACATAAAAAATGTATTCAGAAGATACAGCCGTGTAGAGGCACAATGGTATGTGATACTGTTTAGTACCTAGATAAAAAAATTTAAAATTACTATGCTCATTTCAGGTATCGGGTGCACATATAGCTCATCATTTTGAACCGATTACAAATATGCGTCCTCTTTTTTGTGATCATGATGGAAACCTCATTCGACCTCTGAAAGCTGTAAAATGTACTGGTAAGTAATTGTTGTAAAACTCTATCTGTGGCTTAAATATTTAATCATCTGTCACTGTAGAATAATTTTAAAAATAGAATAAAACACTTGGGTTGGATAATTCGAACAAAAGTTTTTCTTCTCTTAAGATTGCAGTATGATTGTCCATCAGAAATGTGCCTCAAAAGTTGGCGATTTTTGTGGTACAAGAAAGATGGTGGCAAACATGTACTCAAAATGGAAACAAACGGTATACATTGAAGTTATTTTTATTTATAAGTGTTAGCTGTTTTTATATTCTTCTAGCAAAAACCAGTGGCGCTTGAACTGTATAGAGTCAATAACGTTAACGACTCAGAAGATATTGAAGAACAGAATAAAAATATTTTGGCACAACTCTATATTGATTTAGGAGAAAAGTCTACTCGGCTGACAGCTGAGAAAAGTCTTAATACCCTTTATAATCAAAATTACGGTACCTTTTGTGATATTAGTTCTGACGATGTATCATTAAGCATGTTCACACTTCGAGCTTCGCTCGGACATGGAATGAGCGGTGCAGTATGTTACATCTTTAATATGTACAAGATTTTCATACTAAAATATATTCTACGTTTTTGCGATAGGTTTACTTAGTCCAATATCGTGGCAATCAATATGCTATGAAAGTATTTCGAAAACATCGAATATTAGAAGCACAAGATTTTGATTATATAAAAGCCGAACGTGATGTTATGATACAATGTCGAGATAATCCGTTTATTGTGCAAATTTATTTTTCATTTCATGATCCAGAAAGGTTATATTTTATTACTGAATTCGCACCAGGCAAGTTCACTACATCGTTCTTCGAAGGTTATGATATAAAAATGATGTTGTTTTTTAGGAGGAAACTTTTACACTTTTTTATTAGATAATGGAGAAAAGTTTAATGAGGAATGTATTAAATTTTTCTCTGGACAAATTGCTTGTGCATTGATTTATTTACATCAGAATCATGTGGTGAGTAATTGCCAATTTAGACATAGTATTATATGGACTATAAGATTTATATTCAATTTTGTTCTTGTTCCATTAAGGTGTATCGAGATTTAAAACCTGAAAATGTACTTATTATGAGTAATTCTAATTTGAAACTAACCGACTTTGGACTGTGTAAGCAAAATATTGACAACAATACTTTAACAAGTACATTTTGTGGTACAGCTGAATACATTAGCCCAGAAGTCTATCAGAATCAACGTTACGGTATTATGGTCGATTATTGGGCGTTAGGAATTATGATTTATGAAATGTATGAACTCAAAACACCGTTTGTCAATGAAAATGAAGATATTGTAAAACGAAATGTAATTAATGGAAATGTTATATTTTCCAATAAATTTTCGGATAATGCACGATCAATTATCGAAGGTTTATTAGAAAAAAATCCAGCAAATCGCATTGGAAATGAGCGTAATCCATTAGCAAGACAACCATTTTTTATCGAACCGTACACGTTGGAACAAATTGAAAACCATAGAATAAAATCACCTTGGCAAAAACCAGTACGTCTAGAGTTTTTCTTTTCGATAATCTAATATATAATGATTATTTGTATTATATTATCTATTTAGGTAAGATCTTATCTTGATGCGTTACCAACGGCATTGTCTAAGATCGATCCACAAAATACAGTTCAAATTATGAGTGCTAGTAATGATAAATTTAAAGGATTTTCTTTTAATTATAATAGAATTTAATAGATAAATAATAAGACTATACACTAAATAGTAGAAAATGTTTTTTAACTAGAAAAATCTTGTAAACTTCTATACTTTGCTCGCATTAATTATATTTTGATGTTTTTTTTTCTTGCATATGTTGTTTTCTCTTTTTTTTACCTGTATTTGAGTTATTTGCATTAGACAAAATAAAAAATAAAAAGTAAGCATGACATATAGAATAAATCATACTCAACAGTTCCATATGAAATAAAGCAGAAAAAGTCGTTCGCCATGTTTTTTTCTCTTCGATGCTCTGATTTTCGTCTTTTATTACAGTCATGAGTAGATTCAAATACACTAATTTCGTATAAATTACTTTCCAATTTGCAAATTGAATTATGATCATGTCTCAAACTTCACGTAAGTACATCTGATCATTATCAGCATATTTATTCAAGACATTGCACTATCTCTAAAACATATTAGTCAGTACGTTCAAACTATTCCACTTATGAAGAAGTCGTATGAGAAACTCTGCTCATCAAAAAGGTAAAACTTTTTAAGGGATAAATTAAATAAAACTATCCAGAAGAGTGTGGACATAAAATAACATCTATCTGATCAAAAGATTTCTACTAGCATGACGTACTAATTTTGTTTAGCTAAATCAAAACATCCCCCCCCGTTTCTTCGCATTCAGATATTAAGTTTTAAAAGAAATAATCAACAAATAGATTTAAAAACACTTGAAACACAAGTTCAACTTAAACAACAGCAACGTTCATTTGGAGACAAAAATGAAAGTATGAACAATAAAAATTGTTTATAACCTATGCATACTCAAGACGTCGATGTTTTGGTGGTTTTTTAAAGGTTGCCGAATTAAATACCCTCAATATGATGAAAAAGGTCAATGCATTGTGTTTGATGCTGGAGTATCGACAAAGAGAGAAATTGTGATTCGTATAGCTAGTAAAGCTAGTATAGCTAGTAAATCCACGATTTATGAATATCGAGGCGACTTGGATATTTTAAAAAATAATGCTGACGGGCTCCGGCATCGCGTAAGGATCTGCAATTTATTTTACATTAAAATGTTGTCTTGATATCTCTATTTAGTATGCTTTCACACGAAACGCCTCTGTCTATATGATTATCAAGTATAAAAGTATGAATAGTCTCCCTCGTATGTTTGTAATGAACACGGTAGCTATTTTCATAATTTATTTGACATGTTAGATACATCTGAAAATAACAATCGAGTTGCAGAAAGACGTCAACATATTTTTAAACATTTTGGACATGAATTTGTTCCGAAAATATTTAAGACACCAACGTTTTGTTCGGTGTGCACTGATTTCTTATGGTAAGCAGTCTGTTGTTAGATAACTATTAAAATCTCACTAACAAGTCAGTTTTTTTAAGGGGCTTTCGATTTCAAGGCTATCAATGTCAACGATGCGATTGTGTCGTACATAAAACGTGTTATCATCAATTCGCTGGTGCTTGTAAGGGCAAAAAATATCAAAATGTGAGTTAAACTTTTTAAAAATAGAATAGTGAGAATATATTCCCTTGACTGTAAGTTAGGGATGATAAACAAAAAATGTCTGTCGTTATAGATCAAATTGTAGCTCTTGACGAGTTGATTCTAATGGTGAAGGAATGAAATCAGACTCTAGTACCCCAGAGTGGTAAGTATTAGCTTCAATTAAAAATAAAATTAAAGCCATTATGAGTTTCCGTTATGCAGACAGCTGGTAATCCGTGTTGTTGGCCGAGCGAAAAAACAGTTTCAAAGAAAACGCAAAATACCTTTTTTCCCCTGAAAATTACGTACCGTTTGATTTGTTTTTTTTTCTGTAAATTTTAGTGGAAAGCTCTATAGGATTTCGATCACGAAGATTCCGATATATTTATAGTCATTCATATGTCGTATATGCCAGAGGTGGGCGAGGGACAAGGATTCTCGTGAGGTCCGGTGATTCTATAAGGGGCGAATCCCACGAGGAAGATTTTTTTTGAAGCTTGATGAGGCACGGGGCGATGACAAGGCAAGAACTTCACGACGCGAACCCCGCGAAGGATATTTTTTCTGTGAGTGAAAGATACTATGTTTATTTTCATCTATTTTTATAATAAAGGTGATGGTTCTTCTTGGCAACCAAGATGAAACAATGAACAGTTTATGTTAGCAGAGATTTTCTGGACTCAAGAGGATTGATGAGGAAGTGCTAAAGGAAAATTTTATCAAGGCTTGACAGTAGGCGAGGCGGCGATGGAAGAGAAAGCTTACGGGGCGATCCTCGCGAAATACATTTATCGCAACTTGGCGAGGTACGGGACGATAACGAGACAGGAAGTTTGGGAGGGAACTAAACGTTGTACCATCGCGCACCTCTGGTATACTCAAAATGAATCATTGCCAGATCAGTCAATAACTGTATTGACGAGTATCATGCATAAATTTCTATTACCATCATCATCATCAATTCTTTATATATATGAACAGTACACTGTAATAATTTTATATTATGCAATCATCACTATTAACAGTAGAAGTTAAGTGGACGAGGAGTTTTCTGTGCACGGTTGAACGTCCCCGCCTTTTACCTAACGTCTTTTCCTATTTAGCTGGATGAGCTATACCATAAAGATCAAGATGAATCATAAATGCATGTTTACAAACATATTGTTTAAAGTTTTGTTTACATGAACACATCATTGGCATACTGACAAGTCGTGCATGCAGGACTAAATCATTATCAGTTATATTATCATGTAGTTATAAATTGATGCGATTAACGATAGACGAGCGTTCTTCATTTTTTCCCTGATAGATGACATCCAAATTATCTTATCAGAATCTTAAAGAATAAGATCTTAGTAAGATAATACTAAGAAATGTCTAAGATTTTTACTAGGGGATAACTGTTCACGTTCACGTTCACGTTCTGATGATTTCCTTTGCAAGACTGCCTAGAATGCCTCTGCAGTAAAAAATTTCGACTCTTCTATTGTTTTCTACTTCCTGTTCATTATTTATTCTCTGCTCTCTTAAAGGAATGTGATCAAGTTCATATTGATGATGTAGCATCAGACAATAATGAACAAGATTTCCTTGCTGTATTGATATTTCTGTTTTAATTCTATTTTCACTTATTCACTCGATCGTTTTTTCAATCTATGCAAAATATAGTTAGCCTTTATATATTTACGCTGTAGCACAAGCATAATATTCTTGCTAACTTCATATCTCTCTAGTACAATTACATTCAATCGAGAATTCTACAAGGATCTGTGACTATGAACAAATGCCCCCTACCTGCACTTCTATTTTGACCTGAAATATATCCTACCAATGATGTCAAAATCAAAAAACCATGAAACACGTAAATCTTCGCTTATCGACAGCCAGTCGATTCTTATAGCAGCTAAGCTTGTTTTGGAGAAAGATGGTACGATGTTAATGCTTCATAAGACAGCCAGCGAAACTCATGAAAGCTGATTTGTCAATCACTCATAAGTAACAGACAGAATTTATGCATCATCAAACTCGCAAAGTAACCCTTTTATTTCTTTGAAATAAAAAAACTAAAGCTGTTATATAGTAGATATACAAGAAGATAAAGTTTCATCGAGGTGCTTGTGGATTTATATATGAAAATCCCCGAAACGTATCTTCTGGCGTAGACATTAGTAAGCAAGCGTCTTTTTGCTCTATTTCTGATAGTTTAAAATTTTCCATTGATGGCTGAAGCGATAATGGTGTCTAAACACAAGAAATTCAATTTCTATAGGTTGAATATAACGTCTTACTTACCTTTGGTACCCATGGTGGTTTTACTCTTCGATTCTTGATATTTTCTATTGTGTATGGTTCACTAAAGCAAGAAAATCGATTCAAAAATATTATTTTTAAATTATTCATCATACCTATAGAATGGATGATCTTTCAATAAACCATGTGGTGAACTCATATGTCCTAGACGCCTGTGTGGTTCTCGTTCTAACAGTTCCTGAATGATATGTTTTGCTTCCGCTGGGATTGTATCTGGATATTCTACATCTTTCGATAAAACATTTTCTTCAATTTGAGCATCATCTTCATCGTAGAATGGTGTAATAAACGTAAACATTTCATAGATCATCACTCCCAACGACCTAATTATGTAAGGAAAATGATTCGTTTTTTCATTCTCGATTTATTTTTGTGAATAAAAACGCACCACCAATCAACAGTATGATCATAATCTGCACGGTCAAATATTTCAAAAGCAATATACTCTAGTGTACCACAGAATGTATTTGTTCGATGTGTATAATCAATGTCTTTTTTGCATAAACCAAAATCAGCAAGCTTTATATGTCCATCTTGAAATACGAGAACATTTTCCGGTTTTAAATCTCGGTAAACCTTGGAACGACAAAAATGTGTAGTTATTAGAAATCATATTATTCAATACGTACAATTCGTTCATGATGAAGATATTCTAATGCACACACTATTTCACCCGAATGAAATTGAATTCGATTATATGAAAATGGTGAATGTGACGCTTGTCTTTGCAATAATCTATAAAAATTTCCTCCTTGTGCCACCTCCATTAAGAAAAATAGTCTTTCGGCATTTTGAAACGAGTATAATAATTGGACAATAAATGGACTTTTTTGACTGTCTACCAAAATGTCTCGTTCTAACATTACATACGCCACATCTTGTCCTTCAAGTACAACATTTTTTCTCAATACTTTCATGGCAAAATAGTGTTTTTGTGTTTTAACAAGATAAACCTTAAAAATACTATATTTAGAAATGAAAGTTAAAACACTTGATGTTAAGCACTCACTGCTCCATTCATTCCAGTTCCTAAAGATTTTATAAATTGAAATTCTTCTACTCTCATGCCAGCGGTCACATTTGGATGATAGTTTCTTGACATTCGTTCCATTTCGAATTCGGCATTTTTCTTCTTATTTAGATCATCCAAATCATTGTAGATGCTATATAAATCACTATTGTATGTATATGGATCAGACTGATTGTGCTAGAAAATAACAGCAATATGAATATAAGTAAAAGTGTCAGTGCAATTTCATACATTTACTTTGCATTTTTCGTATAATGCGAGTACATTTTCTCTAACTCCACAATAATTTCCCACTTTATCTCGACAACGACGATGAACAACCATTGTGCAATCTATAACCCTATTTACTCTATTCAAATTATCCAAGAATCTTAAAAGAATAAAAACATCAATCGTACGTGTGCATTTGTGTACGTGTCCGGGTTTGATAAAACTTCCATCGTGATCACAAAACATTGGTTTCCATGTGACTGATTGTTGCTCAAAATGATGTGCAACGTCTATTTTAAGCTGTAAAAGAAGAAACAAATAACGCTCGCTGAAACTAGTTCAATCACATGACTGTATCTAATGAATCGGTCCTCGTTACAGTAAACTGAAGTTATATGAACGACTGAGATGAGACGGATGCTCATGGATTAACATTTTTGTACCAATGAAACTCAATAATGACAGTTTGTGTTTACATTTTCCCTCGATATACGAAACAGAGCTCAACACTCAAGATTTGTTCAGTGGATGATGCTCACACACTGTTTAGGGCCAGAATCGACTCAGAAAGCGATAGCGTTCTGGAGATTCTTTAGAGGTCTTAATAGTTCGATTCTTTCAGAAACTCTCTCCTGTGCTATCCGAGAGTAAGATCAAGAGACCGTTGTCTTTTTAAAGAACTTTTTCTCTTTCTGTGCATCCGCAATCGTGTAACGGACAGATGGACAGACATTTTTTGTTTATCATCCCTAACTTACAGTCAAGGGAATATATTCTCACTATTCTATTTTTAAAAAGTTTAACTCACATTTTGATATTTTTTGCCCTTACAAGCACCAGCG